TGGGGAGGGAGGGAGGGGAGGGAGGTTAGTGGGTCGGGTGCGGTGGGTGGGTTGTGTGTGTGGGCGTCAAGGATGGTCACCAGGGGGCACATAGCCGCAGTGAGTGGCGGTGAAGGGTGATGTGAACTGAGGACCCTCCTCGGGGCGGTCTGAAGGGGGTTAGGGGGAAGGGGTCGGAAGGGGCCAGTGGCTATCCTGGGGCCCCCAGTGGTTATGGTTACCCCCCCCCTTGTGGTCCTTGATGAAACTACATATGATTATTCTAGCAGCTATCTTGTCGACGATTCAGGAGCAGAGCGATTTTTTTCCTCATCCCCTACACCTTCCCCACCTTTTCCCCCCGGCTTCTCAATCCTCCTTCCCTCCCCCCCCCTCCTCCTGCTTGTCGTCCTAAAGACCGCCTCACCTGGAACTCGCCGGGGTTCGTCTCCTGGCGCTTGAATGCGAAGCGCGGGCGAAGGGGCGTGTACTTCGCATCCGCTACCGCCTGTGCGGCGTGGTTCAGGAGCTGGCCAGCGAGAGGAGTCCGCGTGACAGTCTTCTGAAGCACGTAACCGTCCTGTACGGCCGCCGCTGCGAATGTAAAGGAAGAAGAAGGAGAAAGGGACAGCGCATGAGCGCATTAAAAAGAAAAAGATGCAACCACGAAAACATGTATGTTGAAAAGGATGCAGATGCGAACCGTGCACTTTCGGTGCATTGCGTTGCCGGTCAACGGCAAACCGAACGCAAGGCCCGCCAAGAGGGCGCTGACATTATTAATGACCGCGCCGCCCAAACCAAAAAGTTCCTACATGCCGCTTTAGCTAACTCTTGACTATACATCTGTTCATTGCCTAAGGGGTAGTGATCAGCCTGTGATCCGGTTATACGATGAGTGAGGCTGTGAACCCGAAGGCCTATCCGCTGGCCGATGCCCAGCTGACCAACACAATTCTCGATATCGTCCAGCAAGCCGCCAACTACAAGCAGCTGAAAAAAGGAGCCAACGAGGGTAAGAAGTTTTGAGAACGCGTCAAAAAGCCGCCATCCTCAGTTAGGTTTCATGCGTCCTGCGCAGCGACGAAGACGCTCAACCGTGGAATTTCTGAATTCGTCGTCATGGCGGCGGACACAGAACCTATTGAAATTCTTCTTCATCTCCCTCTCCTTGCGGAAGACAAGAATGTGCCCTATGTGTTCGTTCCGAGCAAGGCGGGTCTCGGCCGTGCCTGCGGCGTCTCAAGGCCGGTAAGTGGCAGAAGTTCAATCTTTGCATTCACTGATAAAGGGTGTTGACATATTGCCTGGGCCCTCCTGTTTTAAAGGTTATTGCAGCCTCCGTAACGACTAACGAGGGCAGCCAGCTCAAGCCGCAAATTCAAAACCTCAAGGTCAGTTGATATAAACTTTTATTTTGTTGTGCGTTGGTATTCGTGATTATCTTTGTGAATTCTTAGGCATAACGGCGCCGCACACTCTTTTCCTTTGCAGGGTTCTATTGAGAAGCTTCTTATCTAAGACGTTTGTAATGACGGATTGCTGACGTTCAGGAATCGGTTGGGTGCTGTTCGCGGAGGCATGAGTTTTTTCGCGCCACATCTCTGTCCATATGTAACATACAACTTGCAATGCCAGGTAGCTGAGGAGACTTTTGAATGAATTTATCCTTCACATTAGAATGTTGATGCAGTTTATACTTATAACTATATACTACTACAGCTTATACTGCAGTTGTTACGCCAGCAGTAGCCAGTCACCTCTTGCTCAAGTAACCAAAACCTTGACACGGCTGCAAGATAGCATCAATTCACTTCAAGAAAAAGGACATTCGACAGGTACCTTAATGCAACAAACTACAGCCAAGTGCGCCCGTGTTACGTTTCAAGGCCGTCACCAAACTCCCCACCCGCGAGCGCGAACGCTCCTGCACCACCCACCTGTTGCCGCCCGATATCCTACATCCACAACCAGCGAGGTCTGCCTGGCGGTGGCAAAGGCGCTGAGCATGGCGTTCTTGGCCACGAACATGGCAGGTGCCTGGAACGTTTCGAACACCAGCTCTACCAGCCGCTCCCGGGAGCCCCGGGTATTGTGGGTGGGCTCCGCGAGCATGAGCGCAAACTCCTCGGGCCGCACACCCAGACGATCTCTGAGAGCGATCATTGGCGGAGGCGTCGAACCCGAGGGACGGGTGTCCCCCATCCAGTCCGCGAGGGGATGGAAAGGGGCGTTGTTTCACATGCCAGTTACGTAAGGAAAGGTAAAGGATGGATGGGCCATTTGTAATCACAGACTGCTACACCAAAACCACCCCGCCACATGCACCCAACCGTGAGAGGAGGTAATGTGGCGCGGGGGGGCACAGGGGGGGAAGGCTCTTCTTAAGGACAAAACAACACTAACAAGAACAGCAACAGCATTGCGAATTGGACATATGTCAACATCGGTATTTCCGTCCTTTTGGGGGCCCCCCTCAGGCTTTTCGGGGCGTCCCTGCATGTGCGTGTGTGTATGTGCAAAACTTGTAACTTGGTATGACGTTAGCCCGCACCTGAGCGCGTGGTTGTAGACTGCCTCCACCATGTCCCAATCGCCGTACAGATCGTCCGCACCGAAGGGGGACATCACCTGGGGCACAGGTGACACACCGACACAGAGACATCGACAGCGCCCGTGTCGCTCTTTCTCTCTTTCTCCCTCCCTTCTTCCCACAAACACACAAATACAAATACACACAATTGTAAGCATGTGACACCATAAGTGCTTCAACCGTCACCAAATCGACGGCACCTCGGTCACCTCAACACCTCAACCCAGGAGGAGAGGGCGGGAGGGAGCAGGACCCAGCAGCTGGCCACCAACAAACAATGACCCAAACCGCCTCATATACCTTAGAGCCACGTGGAGCAACATCAACAGCAGCAGCACACTACGACGCCGCCAACCCCTAATGGTCGGTCTTATCCCCATGCTTAAAAAGAGTCCCTTGGGCACCTAGTGGCACAAAGCCAAGAGAGCAGGACACGACACTGCCTCGACGGACATCGACTGACTGACGTACAGCTGAACATGGTCTGATGGCTGTGTGGGAGTTGTGCAGTCCCCCTGGCAGTCTGGAGCAAGTGGAGCAAGAATATATCCCTTGTTACCCTCTATCAGCAGCTGTTGGCCAGCGCCTGTTGAAGACAAGTTTCAATTCCAATGACGTGGCGAGGTATGGGGGCCCCCACCCCCATATGCGCCTTCCCTGCAGCTAACCCCTAAGCCTCTGCAACACTGCTGGCTTGCACTGCAATCCCGCCCCCCCCGGAATTGCAGTCGCAGTCCCTTTATTGGTTGTGCAGGAGTGGGCTCTAGAGCACTCCTACAGGTTGGACAGGCCCCCTGGAGACCTCTTATGTCCTGCTATTGTCCTCTCCTACCCCGCCCTCACCTCCATGCCCAGCTGCTTGCCGCTGAGGGCCTGGTAGCCCACCGAGAGCCGCCGACCGGCGTTGGGCCCGTCCACCTCCATGGAGCCGTTGGCACCGGGATGAATCCCCACCATCTGAAATTTTAACGAACACGCTATGTTGCGTACGACGGGGGAGGCTGCTGGAGAGCGCAACTGGTGTGCTCGGAGGCGCTCAGTACCGACTAACGCACTTACCGACGGAAAAACCGCCTTGGGTGTGTCATCTCCCGCGTAACCCGCTTTGCAACTGTGTGTTCCTAAGTCCAACACCAGAGCATTGACCTCATCTGCAGCGACAGGACGCCATTCGCGTTTAGCTGGTTAGCCGATTGCAAGCTTGCGCAGCCTTTGATATAAGCAATTCTTACCGCCCCCGTAAATGTTAGAGGACATCCTACAAATATGTTATTGCAGCAGAGTTTTTTTTACCGGTATCCCGCCTATGTCCTCGTCATGAGTTGGCTTCATCCACTTACGAATGCCTCATATTATTCAGCTGTAAGAAGTTGATCTATGATGATCAGCGAAACATTTTGGCAAATTATGGCAATGCACAATGCATTTCGGTTGGACGTCAATACCGTTGACATTTCGCATTGAAAGTACGAATGTAGCTATGGAATCAGGCATTGAAGCACTTAGACAAAGCAGTCAAGTATTTATTACTTCATTACTAGCTCCTCCGATATGTTTTGATGATATGCCTTGGTACTTGCGTGTTGATGACAACCTTGGGGCGTTGAGTCCCGGAGTTTCGTGCCTGCTAAGTAGCACTTGATATAGGTTTGAATCGGCAGGCTTATCACAAACGGTCAGAATGCCACCGAAACTTGCGTTGGCCATCAATGTGGAGCCCGAGCCGGTCCAACATACCACAAACTTTGTTAGTAACTTAATTAGCGCTTCGAGGGTAGTCATCAGGAGCCCACCTTTGAACCTTTCCATCACCTGTGCTTACACTGCAGGAGAGCATTCGAATAAGCGATGACTCGCTCACGGTGCTGACGCAGTCACACAACCCCGTGTCGTTCACGGCGGAGGGAATGCGTCTGAAGAATGAAGGCGTGTTCTATAAGGCAAGGGTGTTTCGCTGGGCAGCACATTTCCACCTCTGTCGTCTTACCCCGCTGTCCCTCCCCTTTGCCTTTCTCCCTACCCCAAAGATTTCAGAAAAGGACATCCGCATCATTAAGAAGCTGGGCCAGGGAGCAAGCAGCATTGTAAGCGCCCAGGGTTGGCACATGGTGCCCGATTATCATGGCAGCACGGGAGGGCAAGGAAAAAATGAAACCTTTGTCGTTTTCCCCTTGCGCTGGTGTCGTACAGCTCGGCCGTTGTAAATAACCGCCGGGTGGAGTCACAGTCCTCCATCCGGGCTCAACAACATAGATAGGGTTTGGGGTGCTTTGCCGCATTTTTTGATATGTAGGAAAATTGCGCTTTGCCTCGAAAGTCAATCTGCATAACCAATCTGTGAATTTTCCGAAAACACGTTCCTCCGCCAAGAAGTGCGAAAGCTCATATGACCCCTGGGCCCCCTGGAAATATATCCACAAGGCCACAGAGTTGGCCCAGTTTCCCGCGATTGGGTCACTTTCGCTTTGGTTAGTTTAGCTTAGCATGGGGTCATTTGTGGACCCTGCCTGCGAAGGGCTGTACGTGTATTGGGGGCTGCAAATCACATGCGTCACCGTCTTTTGCTTCCCCTTCCGGGTACACCCGCCCACATAAACCTTTCTTCGCTCGCGGGGTAGCTCCCCTCCCTCCCCCTCCCGCGTGTGAGAGAGTGTGTATGTGTATTTTTGTGCTCCCTCCGTGATTTCTCCCCTCTCCCCTCTTCCTACTCATGATGAAAACTGCTGCTGCTGCTGCTCAGGTGTACAAGGGTTTCTTAGTACGGGAAAACAAGTTCGTGGCGGTGAAGAAGATTAATGTGTTTGAACGGGTGAGGGGTCAGTGGGGGTCAGTGGGTCTAGGCGGCTGCGAATGTACTAGGCGGCTCGACATGGGCTTCACATGACATTCATCTCATGTTATGAAGCCGCATCTCTCTCCTCTGCGGCCGGGGGAAGGGAGGAGAAGAAGAAGGGCCCCGTCGCGGGCAGCAGAGCCCCGCAGTGTCAATCGCCTTCCCCCTCCCCCGCCCTGTACGGCGGCAGCACGTAGGCAAACACACAACGTAGAGAGGGGCGCCTTGGTGCGGCAGCGGTGTTGGTCTGCTGGTCGTTGCTGGCGGCCGACTTTGGGGGAAAGGGGGGAAATGTGTTTTCCGTGTCCGTAGGAGGAAGAGGGGATTTATACCCCCTGTACCCGGGAACCCCCCCCCGGGTGGTGGGGAGCTAACGGGACCCCGGTCCCCTGCAAAACACACCGACCCCGCATGCACCGTCTCTTCAGCATGCGAGGTCCCTCCCAAACCCGGTCCCTCCCCTTTCCCCCCGATTTCCAAAACACACCAACACACGCTCTGCCTCTCCCTCCCCGTCCCCCCCCCTCTCTCCAGGAGACGCGGCACCAGATGATCAACGACCTGAAGGCGCTGTGTGACGCCCCCAGCAACGTGCCGGGGCTGGTGTCCTTCTACGGGGCGTACCACGTGCCGGAGAGCGGCCAGATCTCCATAGTGCTCGAGTATGTGGACGGGGGGTCGCTGGCGGATGTGCTGGCGAAGGTAGGGGGGGTAGAGGGGTAGGGGGTAGGAGGGAGGAGAACATCTCGAGGAGGTCGGGGGTGGGTCGCGAGGCGACGGGCATCACACATACATACTTGCAAACACACACACATGGACACACATATATAGGTACAGATACATGCAAACGAGGAAATCCCCACCCCCCACCGCTACCCTGCACCCTCATCCCACCACTACACATACATACATACATACATACACTCACTCAGGTTGGCCGCATCCCCGAGAACGTGCTGTCCAAGATGACCTCCAAGATCCTGAGGGCCCTGGCCTACCTGCACAAGGAGAAGCACCTGGTAGGGACGGGGGGGCACTGCGGGGGGGAGGGGAGAGGGAAGGAGTCCTGCATTGGAGGGGTTTTGCACAGCGGGGGAGGGGGGGCAGTGTTACGTGAGCGGGGTGTGTGTGCTTGCCTCCATCTGTTGTTTGCTTTTGAAGCTTGACTCCGTCCGTCCCCACTTCTCCCTCCCTGCCTCGCTCAAA